GGTTCTCTTTCCTACAATCGGGCTTGCAGTCCACCGAGTAGTTGAAATAGCCGAGACCGGGGTCTACAAGGCTAATCACGAGGAGGGCTACCAGGAGTCTTGCCGCCATTGAATCCTGCGATTTCGAGCAGTGTATCAAGCTTTTTGAAATCCAAGTTCGTAGTCAGGAAATCTGCGGCGTTGACCTCACTGGGGCAGTATTCGACGTTGACCTCTCCGTTAAGGTATCTCTCTCTGACGTAGTAGAACCTCACCTCAACGTGTTTCGCGTTCTTAAATTGTTGCGAAGATTCGGTCAGTCGAATCGTGGCCTCGTTGTCAATGAGTAGGGTCGGTTTCACCGGGTAGTGGAGCTCGTTCAGAAGTTTGGCTGTCCAGATCGCCGCTTTACAAGCCTCTGAGGCAGCGATCAGCTCCGCGACCATGGAGCCGGTGGAAACACAGCTCTGGCGCTGGCTGCACCAGCCAATTGCTCCTCCTCCGAACTTGACCAGGGAGCCAGAAGTGCTCCGTCTGGTGGTCTCACACATAGCGAAATCTTCGTCGCTGTAGACCTTGAGTTCGCGTGAACCGCCACTAGAGTAAAAGGGGCCGTGAGTCTTGGTTCCACTCAAGTATCTCTAAATGTGCAACCCCTGTTTCCACAACTGTTTCGTTGGGCAATCCAGGTACCTCGACAAGAAGCCTACTGCATAGGCTATATCTGCTCTTGTCGCAATCGCGAGGTACATCAGTCCGCCGACGAGAGAGCGGTACGGCAGTGTCACATCGATCTCGCCATCGTAGGCGGATTTCGCACTGCTATCAAGCGGCGTCTTGGCCGGCTTGCAACTCGTCATACCAAATCTTTCCAACAAGTCGGCAATGTACTTCGACTGATGGATGTGGATAGTTCTAAAGTCAGGGGAGATGTCTATGTGCAACCCCAAGAAGAATTCCAGTGGTTTGAAAGTGATTTCGAGTGCCTTACCAAGTGCAATGAGGAATTCTTCAGCATCTTCTTTGCATGAGGCTCCCGTAATGCCATCATCGACATATAGAACTACCACGAGTCGTTTCGGTCCCTCGGAGAAGAACATGCACGGGTCCGAGGTGCTCTGGGTCAATCCCAGCTCCAGGAAGCATTTCTTGATTTTGCTGCTAAATTCCTTCGGAGCTTGCTTCAATCCGTAACAAGCTCTCAGCAGCTTGCAAACTCTCCCAGATCCGTCCTCAAAACCTTCTGGCTGAGGGTGTTTTCTTCTTTTAGATCTGAGTGCAAGAAGGCCGTAGCCACATCAAATTGATATGAGGTCAGTGCCTCCTGTGCTGAGACCGCTAGGAGCGTTCTGATCGTTTCGAAACGAGCTACTGGGGCGTACAGTTCCTGGAAGTCCCTTCCAGCGATCTGATTGTAACCTTTGATCACAAAACGAGCTTTTCGGCGGATAATCACCCCGTTCTTATCCTCCTTCGTTTTGAAGATCCATCTATTGCCTATGGTGCGCTTTCCCTTAGGAAGTTCCGTGAGTTCCCATACATTGTGGTGCTTCATCGAAGCAATCTCTTCGGACATGGCCTTCAGCCATTCCTCTCTGTAAGGTGAACTATATACTTCATTAATACTGTTGGGCGCGTCCGCCACTTCATTTACACTAGTGTTCCGTTTCTCAACGCTAGATGGCGCTGCATCTGCGTAGCCGGCTTGATATCTATCAGGCGCTGTGGCGAATAAGCATATGTCTAGGTAAAACCATGAGAGATTTCAATAAAAGAGGAGCCGGTTTCTTGTCGGAGCTGATATGGAAACGTCGGACAACTGCACGTCACGGCGTCCTCGGACGCTGCGGCGCCGCGGCGATCGACACAGAGTCTTGACGAACGCGACGCGCGTGGCGACGGTCACGCAGTCATCAGCTCCGGGAAAAACTCCGGTATCCAGTACCCTCTCAAATCTAGTGTCATCAATCGGGTCGGGGTTACGTCTCGGAGGGGGTTCGCAACACTTGGTGGCAGCGATTATCAAGAACCCAGCCCATTCCGAAGATCATCAAGCGAGCGGCCAGATTGCCAAGGCGAGGCGACTTCGGCTAGCGTGTGGTGTGAATCCAGTTCACGGAAGGGAAATATCGGACATTAGTCAGTCCAAGTTCGGCCATCCAGTGTGCCGTCAGCACTATCATCGAAAATCGCGGAAACATTCGAGTGTTCCCGATTTCACCAGTTGGATCCAGAGTCACGAGACACGTGGTCGACCTTCGGATCACTGGTCAGTTCAGACAATCTCGCCGAGTAACTCCACTCGAGTCAGAGCCTACTTTCGTTGAACGGCAGATCGAGGTGTCCAGCACCGAACTTCGTTTATCCAGTGAAGCATCAGTATATGACATCATCGCCTACAACTCAACTCCGTCGGTCCTTATCGGCGAACAGTGTCAGAGACTCTAGTCGTTCTCGTGAGGAAAATATGGCGGACGAAGCCCTCGAAGCCGTCGGAGCGCCGTCGACCCCAGCGTCGGCCGCCGACATCAAGAGTTTCAAGGAGCACGTGGCCGTCAGAAAGGTTTACCGCGCGAGATTCACAAAGAAGATCAACGAGTTAGGGAAGGCGATGAGCCAGCTGAAGACGGTGGACGAGAAGAAGGAGAAAGCCGAACGAGAGCGGCAGCACATTGAGAAAATCTACGAGCAGATCAAAGAAGAGGACAAGGCGATAGCCCCCCTCCTGCTCATATGCTCGCCAGAGCAATTCGACGGCGCAATGGAGCGCGCGCTCGCCTACGAGGAGGAATACTACAGGTTGTTCCTGGACATCAAGGAAGCGAGAGCAAAAGCAGCTGCAGTGCCGGGGACGGCGGCAGCCACGGCAGCTTCAGATTCGTTAGCCCTGCCATCAGCATCGGTGTCCAGCACTGCGTATTCAAACGCGATGACGCGCTACTTCAAAGTGCCAAAATTCTCGGATAATTACAAAAAATTTCGAGAATGGTGGCAGATGTTCGACGCACACGTACACAAGAAGAACATCGATCCAGTCGAGAAGTACGCCATCCTGAAGCAATCCTTGGAAGGCCAGGCGGCTGCCGAGATTGCGCACCTGGAATTCACGGCGGATCAATATCAAGTGGCGATGGATGCGATCGCAAAGAAGTTCGGTTCAGCCAGGATGGCAGAGAGAGAGCATGTCCAGCAGCTACAGAAACTCTTCCAGTCCAGGGACCTCCACGTGAACGATAAGTTCGTAAAGTTCGTCAGTTCGTTGTCTCAGAATGTCAAAGCGCTAATATCCTTAGGGAAAACTTACGAGTCGCTCTCGCTGTGGGTAACGCCCAGCGTTCTCAGTACGCTTCCCGTACAAATGGGAGAAAACTTCAAACGATTAAATTTCGAAGCGCTAGATGGGGCAAACTCAGACAACGTCCTGAAACTTCTCCTAGAATACCTAGATAAGGAAGTCACGATTAAGAGGGACTCGAGACCTTCCGATCCACAGAGACCAGGCACTTATCGAAGCGCAAATCAGAGTAGGGATTTCAGCAGTAGCAATTCGAGCAGGCAGCCAGCAGGTGGATCGGGAGGTTGGTTCAGTAGGAGAAACGAGACCACTCGGAGCAACGTGGCTTTCCTCACGCAGAGCTCGACGGTAGATCACTCCTGTGTATTTTGTTCGAGCTCTAAACATGAGAGCAAAGATTGCAAGAAGCCCTTATCCTACGAGGAGAAAAAAGAGCTGTGTGAGAGAAGCAACGCTTGCTTCAAGTGTCTCCGTAGGAATCATTACGCGAAGAAATGCAGATCTCGAGGCATCAAGTGCGACAAGTGCAAGCGGAGCCATTATCCAGTAATGTGCGATGCGCGAGCGGAAGCCACTCAGCAGGTAAAATCATTCTCAGCGCAATTAGCGTCCAGCGCGAGCGCACGCGAGGTGAAATATTTCCAGACCGGACTGCTGTGGGCAAACGGCGTAGATCGTAGGCGTATCTGTCGTTTCTTCTTAGACACGGGGGCAGAACGCTCATACATCTCTCAGCGCGCAGTTGAATCTCTAGCCCTCAGAGCATCGGGTCGCGAGAATTTAGCTATGATTACGATCGGCGGCGCGGTGTCGGAATACAGGGCTTACGACGTATATCATTTACGCCTTCGGAGTAGGTTCAACGACAGGGATACAGTCCTTCTGACTCTAGTCGGTATCCCGGAAATAGCGAGAGGAGAGTTTCCAGTCCTGAGGGAATCTTTCGGTCTCAAACCGTTGGCAGACGACGACAGCCCGTCGGGACTCGAGGTTGACATTCTCATTGGGCAGGATTTCCTGGCGAGGATCCTGCGCGGTGAGGAACGTGTTCTCGAGGACCGCATCGTAGCGACCAGCACCATATTTGGTTGGGTCCTGGCGGGCAAGGGCACCGGCGGCAGGAGCGGAGTAGCAGATACTTCAGCGTTCCTGACTTCAAACCTATACCAGCCGGGAACGTTCGTCGGTTCGGAGGTAGTGAATCTAACATCGCTCGTGGCGAGGGAGGCTGATTTGATACGAACCCAACCGTCCAGCGGTCCAGAGATGAGAGAAACAGTAGTTAGAAGTCCAGACGAGGAACTGGCATCGGATTTACAGAATCTGTGGTCGACAGAGCTCTTAGGATTTGAGCCTCAGTCGGACCTCAGGGACGCTGGAGAGAGCTCAGCTTTGAGAGACTTTTTTGAGAACAATATCAAGCGCCAGGACGACGGCCATTACATAGTCAGTCTGCCCTTTAAGAATGAATCTGAGAACGCTAGGAGATAACGAGAATATTGCTCGCGGTAGTCTGAATCGTCTTCTCGTTAAAGCGCGTAATAACAGAGAACTTCTGAACTCGCTGGACGAGGAGATGAAAAAATACATAGAGAGAGGTTACGCGGAAATTGCTGAGCCGAAGAAACCGAATGAGCTCGTCCACTATCTCCCGCTCTTGCCAGTTATCAAACGAAACTCGGATGCGGAGATTGTCAAAGTCAGAGTTGTCAAAGATGCTGGAGCGCGAAGGAGAGACGAAGCGGCTCTCAACGACGTATTGATCTGTGGAGACAACTTATTGCCCGATGTCGTCCAAGTCCTCTTAAGGTTCAGGCAGGGCGATATCGCGATAGTATCAGACATAGAGAAGGCGTTTCTGCAATATAAGATCCACCCAGACCACAGAACCTTTCTGCGGTTCTTTTGGCCTCTGGGCATCAGCAGAAACCCGCGGGCGCCCATCCGAGAGTTCTGGAGCACAGTTTTGGACTTTGGAATAATTTCAAGTCCGTTCATCCACTGCGCGGGAATCAAGTACCACATAGGTCAACTCATAGAGCAACACCCCGAAAGATCCAGTCTTCTGCGAGATATCGACCGGAACTTCTATATGGATGACCTTGTGGCATCAACGAATTCGGTATCGGAGGGTCGCGAGATTTTCGAATTCATGTTTGACGCATTCAGTGCGGGCGGTTTCAAACTCCGTCGGTGGGCGACAAACGATTCAGTCTTAGCAGCCGAAATGCGGAAAGCGGACAGAGACTCTGATATCCAAACCATTAGCGACCAGCCTAGCGACTTCAAGTTCCTAGGTGTTAGCTGGAATCAGCCCTTGGACAATTTGTATATCGGCGTTCAGTCTGCATTGGATACTCTCAGCTCTAATCCGCCGTCGAAGCGCACTCTGCTGAGAGGCACGGCACAGGTTTTCGATCCACTCGGCTTTATTTCACCCGTCACGATTAAGGCAAAGACCTTATTGCAGTCACTGTGGCGTCAGAAAATTAACTGGGACGATTTACTCGTCAGGGAAAATTTAGAATCATTCGAGGACTTCACCAGCACGCTTGGAGAAGCGCGCTCTGTGTTGATAAACAGAAACCTCCTCGCATCTCGGCCAGTGACGAAGAGAGAGCTGCACGCGTTCTGCGCGACGCCTCGATGGAAGCGTTCGGCACTGTTGTTTACATTCGAGAGCTCTTGAACACAGGGGGCGCTGAGGTACATTTCGTAGCATCGAAGGCCAGAGTAGCTCCTCTGAAGTCAGAGTTCTCGATTCACCGATTAGAACTTATCAGTGCAGTGCTGTCGGCGCGATTGGTAAGCAGAGTCAAATCTTATCTCAATTGTCATTTCGATTCAGTCAGTTATTGGTCGGATAATTCCCCTACTCTGCATTGGATCGAGGATGACCCTAGTCGGTGGAAAGCGTTCGTCGCGAACCGCATCAGAGAGATCCAGTTTCTGTCAAATCCAGCGGATTGGAATTATGTCGCGTCGGCAGAGAATCCCGCGGATCTGCTCAGCAGAGGGACATCTATCTCAGGTGGGGAAGCCAGAGACATGTGGATTGAAGGACCTTCCTGGCTAGCGGAGTAAGGCAGGCTGACGGTGGCTCACCAATTGAACGATTTTTTCGAGAACAAGAGTAGCGTAGAGTCGGAGAAAAATAAGTCGAAGTGTCTGGCGACCTTGATGCCGGATTCGGGAAGCTCTCCGGTTTTCGACGGGCGGCGACTATCATCTTGGTCGGTTTTCGTGTCCAGCACGGCTAGAATTCTTAGATGGCGGGCTCTTTGTAGGAAGCAGATCTCTCGGTCGGAATTAAGCCTGCCGGTTTCTCCGGACGAGGCGATGGTGGCGACTCAGAGAATCATCAAGAGCATTCAGAGAGATCACTTCGCGCGAGAGATAGAGACGGAATGCAAGTCAATCCCGAAGGAGAGTAAGATTTTCAAGTTGGCGCCGTTCGTCGATGAGCAGGGCGTTCTGAGATGTCGATCAAGACTAGAGAACGCGAGTGAGCTCTCCTATGGAGAAAAGTATCCAATACTATTGCCGGGAGAAAGCATTGCCGTGAGACTCCTCATAAGATTCGTTCACGAGAGGAAATCATTTCATGTCAGCGGAGTATCCACTACTCTCGCTTTTTTGCGTAAAACATACTTCATCCTCTCAGCGCGTAGAGCGGTTAAGAGCGTTCTCAAGGATTGCAAGATATGCATGAGATTCCGCGTCGAGGCAGCTATGGAGCCAGTGCCTCCGCTTCCAGAGTTTCGGATCGATACAGCGCCGGCGTTCTCAGTTACTGGAGTAGACCATGCCGGGCCGATTTCCTACTTAAACGATCAGAGCGAACCCTGCAAAGGATACATTCTACTATTCGTGTGTTCCGCCACAAGAGCGACACATCTCGAACTGGTACCGAACATGTCGACGGTCGAATTTCTTTTGTCGTTGAGGAAGTTCCTGAGTCGTTTCGGGACCACAACGAAAATAATTTCAGACAACGGGTTGGCTTTCGTCAGGGCGGCTAAGGAGCTGAAAATTGTTTACGATCACGTGAAGTCTCCGGAGGTACAACGGCACTCAGTGAATTCAGAGATTTCGTGGGAGTTTATAACCGCGCGAGCCCCCTGGCACGGCGCGTGGTGGGAAAGAATGGTTCAAACCGTTAAGAGACCATTGCGGAAAGTACTCGGTAGGAATACACTCTCCTTCAGAGAGTTAGAAGCCACCCTAATGGAGATCGAGGCGCTGGTGAATCAGAGACCATGGACATCCGTTCAATTAGACCCCAACGAGATTGAGGCTCTCTGTCCAGCAGACCTAGTTTACGGCCATCATTCGGAGATAAGTCTTCCAGAGATGCGCCTAAAGCCTAGAAATAAGGAAGCAGCTAGCGCGATTGTATGGTATGGTATGGTATGGTATGGTATGGTATGGTATGGTATGGTATGGTATGGTATGGTATGGTATGGTATGGTATGGTATGGTATGGTATGGTATGGTATGGTATGGTAGTGATCCTCGCCCTCGTGTAGCCAAGAGCCACATCGACGGGCGACCCTAGTCCAGGGGCGAGTATTCTCTAGCGGATCCCTCGGGCCTCGTTTTCCCATTCCTCGAGCGTTCTCTTCGTCTCCTCACATGTCCCATCGTCACCCTCCCCCTCCAAGCCCAGCATTCTGGGGAGCTCATTCGTCTCAGAGTGATATGGTTCACATTTCATGATGATGTGAGGGATTGTTTCTACCTCTCTCCCGCATTTC